GAACCAAAATAGATCATTTGTGGATTCTTTTTTTTAGTCTTGCAGCACTCAAACAGTGACATACCAATCCCCCCCAAAAAATAAAATAAAATAAACCTTTGATTTGACTGAGAATGATTCATCTCTGGATTTGGCATGTTCAGACTATGCATTATTTTAGTACAATGACTCAATGATGTCAGATCTATCTTTCTAACACACATAAACCACTGTTTAGTGCAGTATTCAATCTGAAAAAAGCATCATCCATCCCCCAAACCACATCTGTCTATAGATCAAAAACTCTGTGGACAAACCCTTATACTTGGATATTTGGTCAGCCCACAGTGGCAAGATATTCATGTAAGTTATTTTTATTTATTTTTTATTAGATTTTTGTTGTCTTTAATGATCAAGAGCTTTACAGTTAAATTGTCTCTAGTCTGTGTCACCGAAGATGTCCTGCTTTCTGCGCTCCATCTCAGCAAAGTCGAACTCCGAGCCCGTCATCCTGCAGTAGATGTCCTTGATGTCCTCACAGGTGGTCTCGAAGTGGGTTGTGGCATCGTATGAGCTGGAAATGAAGATCTAAAAGACACAAAAGGCTAGACACTTAATATGGCTGCAGTAAACATAAAAACAACGATGGGTTTGAGTTGGTCATCAAAAACTGACGTAGGTTTCCAGATGTCTTCCTGATTAGACAATGAAGCATCTCTGAGCCACTCAGGATGATACAGGAGTCGAGTGTAGCTAAAAGAACAGGAACGTGAAAATATCCTGAATTTAGTTTGACTCAGTCTGACTTAAACCCTGATTTGATGGGATGGGTCACATTTTTGGAACCAATGTCTAGGCTCCAATAATGTGGGGCTTTAAGCCCCGCCTACTCTTGTCAGCAGATCAACCACTTGTTTAGTTTTATTAGAGTCAGGTGGTTGTTCAGGTACCAGCTAAGCAGGTGTGTCATGTCCTGTCTGAGTGGACCTTTGTTCATGCTGATGAGGACAACAGTCTCGTCTCCAGCATGATGATGATTTTACGATGAAGGTGGATTTAGACTTGGGAGGTACAGTCCGCTAACCTGGAGAGCACTGAACAGATTCTAATGAAATATCCACACAAAACAAGACCGTTTTTAATAAAATCTTATCAGCTGCCAACAAAGTGTCAGAAATAATATTTCTGCTTGCATCTATTTATCTGTCTGTCAGCGAAATATCTCTGGAGTCACTATTGTATCAAGCTGTCCGAACGTAGCCATTGGATGTACGGATGTTTCACTTTTGGAGCCAAACGATAATCAACCTCATTATATATATA